CCATGTCGCCCAGGCACAGCACAGCCCTCGGCACGGTACATCAAGATCGATACACTTAGCATTGCAACTTGGGATGTTCCCTGGCGCGTCCCGTGGCGAGTCCGAGCTTAAGATCCAGATCAGTTCTGTCAGGATTCGGATGCAGAGGAGGACTTGATCCACAATCGCGGCATGGCACATCGCAGCTTAGCACGGCGTAGCATAGCACAGCCCTCGCCACGGTACATCAAGATCGATGTACTCAGCATTGCAACCTGGCACGTTCATTGGCACGTTCCCTTGCGAGTCCCCCTGGCACGTCGTGCGGCGCGTTCCCTGGCACGTCCGTGGCATGTCCACTGGCACGTTCCGTAGCGCGTCCCGTTGGCACGTCCCGCGGTGCGTACTCATGGCACGTCTCCTGGCGCGTCGCCTGGCGCGTCTTTTGGGACGTTCCGCGGCGCGTCCTCCTGGTATGTCCCCTGTCAATGAGTTCTGGGGAAGCTGCTACGTGCTCAGGCAGCTCGAGCTTGAGATCCAGGTCAGTTCGGTCAGGACTCCGATGCAAAGTAGAATGCGATCCACAACGCCATGGAGCACAATCGCGGCATGGCACATCGCGATTCAGCACGGCGCAGCACAGCACAGCTCTCGACACGGTATATCAAGATCGATACACCCAGCATTGCATTTGTCCGTTGCCCAATCAGGTGTCTTTGAAACGTTATCATGCCTTACATTTCTATATTCCTTTTCGGGTTCGTGGGTCGATCATGTTTTCGTATGTGCCTATAGGAAGCCCACTGAAGGCTTAGGAGGGTCAAGGTAGCCCAGGAGAGCGCAGGAGGGCCCAAGAGGTCCCAGGAGGCGCCAGGAGAGCCCACGAGAGCCCATGCTGGCCCAGGAGGCTCCAAGTGGCCGCAGGAGGCGTCAGGTGGCTCAAGGAGGGCCCACGAGGCTCGAGGAGGCCCCTGGAGGCCCCAGGAGAGCCCAGGAGGGCCTAGGAGGCCACCGGTTCTGCTCGACTGCAGGGACTAGGTATGGTGCACGTTTGGTCATGTATGGAATTGTCGGTGCGGTGAACTTGTGAGGGGGCACTGGTGTTGGTGCTGGTGCCGTTGCGGGTGGTGCTGGTTTCGGTGGTGGTGTTCGTAGGGGGGAGGGGGGTGGGGTGGCGGAGAGGGTCATGGTTTCGTAGAGGGACGGGCGGGGGCTGGGAGGGGGGTGGGGCGATGTGTCTGTCCTTCTGCGTGTGTTCTTTATTTTGTTTCGGAGAGGGTGTCGGCGTTGTGCCAGGGCCGCCCGGGGTAGTCTTGGGCTTTCCCGGGGTGTATCTTGGGATCTTGAGAGGGTCTCATGGGCGGGCGTTTCAAGTCTCTTCGAGCCGAGGGCGTGGGCTTGGGGGGCGTGCGTCTCTTTGAAAGCAAGGTTCGGCTTTGGAAGCTTTCTGGGCATTTGTCCTTTCAAGGGGCGGTGGGATTTGGAGGCCTGTTATGGCACACGGGACGCGTGGGGTAACGAAGTTTGTGGTGCATTAGTCTGGGTTGGGGGAGGGGGCAAGAGGGCGGGGGGGTAGCGGGCGAAGAGGAGGGCGTGTGTGCCCTAGTCGCGCTTGCGCGCTGAAGGATGCCGGAAGAGGACGAAGAGGATAGCAATAAGGAGTCAGAAGAGGATATGGCGAGAGGGGGATGCCTCAGGGAGGTGTCCAAAGGAGCGGCGTGGGTAAGCACATCGTGCAGCAAGGAATTCGAGGGGTGTTCACGTTCATGTCCGGGTGTGAGGGTGTGTGTTGTGTATTCGTGTGTGTGTGTGTGGTGTGTGTGTGTGTGTGTGTGTGTGTGTGTGTGTGTGTGTGTGTGTGTGTGTGTGTGTGTGTGTGTGTGTGTGTGTGTGTGTGTGTGTGTGTGTGTGTGTGTGTGTGTGTGTGTGTGTGTGTGGGGGGGGGTCGTGCGTGCGAGTGTGAGTGTGTGTGTGTGTGTGTCTTGTGTGTGTGTGTGTGTCTTGTGTGTGTGTCTTGTGTGCGTGCGTGCGTGCGTGCGTGCGTGCGTGTGTGTGCGTGTTGGTCTGTGTGAGTGTGTGTGTGTGGGTGTGCATGAGCTTGTGCGGGCATGCATGGGCATGGATGTTTGTGTGTTTGTGCGTTTGTGTGTTTGTTTGTGCGCGCGTGCTTCTGTGTCGGTTCATTCTGGGCTCGCGTTTTGTATTGTGGTCGCTTTGGGCCGTCGGCGCCACTAGCTCGCGCCGCGGGCACGCTGTGTGCCAGCGGCAATCTGCCCGCGGGCCTTCGCGGAGGTGGGCTCTAGCTGGCGTGTGGGCCGTGGCGTGTGCCTACGGGTCTTGTGTTTCTGGGTGCATCCTTTGGGGACTGTGGTTCGTCGTGGCGTGTTCCTGTTTGGTATGCGGATGCACGGCAACGCGGCAAGCAAGAGTCTCCTCGAACTGAGGACATCAGTGTTGACGTTTCTACCACGTTTTGGTTCTACGGCGGTCGCGGCTTGCAAGGGTGTCGCAGGATGACGGTGAGGTGGGGGGCGGGTGATGAGGAGGATATCGGGTGCGGAGGAGGAGGAGGAGGAGGAGGAGGAGGAGGAGGAGGAGGGGGAAGAGGAGAAGGAGGAGGAGGAGGAGGAGAAGTGTGAGATTTTCACGCACGGACTTGCTGCTGCAGTTGGAAAGCATGGCGGACGAGAAGGTTCTTTGAGGGAAACGTCGCCAGGGTGTGTATGCAAGGTTTTTTGTTTGTTTTGTTTTTATGTTTTGGTTATTTTCCTTCTTCTTTTTCTTCTTCCCTTCTCTGCTTTTCACTCTCTCTTCCTTTTTTTTGGTTTTGCTCTCTCTCTCTCTCTCTCTCTCGTTCTCGTGCACGCACGGTCTGCCCGCAGTCGCTGGAATGCTGGAAGAAGTGCTCGTTCCCGATGCCGTTCTTTTACACTGTCTGCGTGTGCGCGGCCGACTCATTTGGTGGAGCCGCACTGGTTCACTCCGGGCGTGTTCCTCCAAATGGGTGGGCTCGTCGGGCTCTCGGATCAGAGGGCAGTTGTGGAAGCTCAGCTGTGGGACCCTCATTGGGTGCGCGTTGCAGTGTCGGAGAGGGGTACTGGAGAACGGTGCGCATAGGGTGTGATGACTCATCCACGCTGGGGAGCCTCACTGGTTAACTCCGGGTGTGTTCCTCAACGTGGGTGGTCGTTTTTTTGTGATCAGGGCCCGCGTTTGTAGATGGGCACGTTTTGTGGGCACGAGCATTGAGTCAATTTCGGTTGTGGTCAGGGATGTGGTTGGGCGAGCAGGTGCGTTGTTTATCTTGGAGGGGCGTGTTGCGAGGGTGTGGCTGCACAGGCTTGTCATGCAGTGTTTGCCTTTTTTTGGTGGGGTACGTGTGGTCTCTCCCTTTCTCTCTCTCTCTCTCTCTTCCTCTGTGTCTGTCTCTGTCTCTCTGTTCTTGTCTCGCTGTCTCTCTCTCTTTCTTTTTCTCTCTCTCTCTCTCTGTGTCTCTGTGTCTCTCTTTCTTTCATTGTCTCTCTCTCTCTCTCTCTATCTCTCTCTTTTTTCTTTCTCTCTCTCTCTCTCTTGTTGTTCTCCCTCTTTCTCTTGTGTTCTCTCTCTCTCTCTCTCTCCCTCGCGTGTTTCAGTCACTAACTGTCTCTCTATATACTTCCGCGGCAGAGCTGTTATCTTGGTTGCTGCAAAAGCGTGGACTGCAATATAGTTGTCGGTGCGGCGGGGTGAGTGGGTGTCGGCGGGCACTGCGTTTCGGTATTTTTGGTTTCTTTGTTGGTGTGCGTGTTACATGGTGTTGGTGTTGCCGCAGTGTCGTGGCTTTTTGGCGCCAAGAGCGTGGCGGAGGCAGCGGAGGACGGTGTCGTTGGCACCAGCGGTCTGGACACATTTGCATGCTGGGGGTGGGGGGTGTCAGGGGGGTGGGGGGTGTCAGGGGGGGGGGGGGGGCGGTGGGTGGGGTGGGGGGGGCCGGTGCGTTGGGCCAAGTAGAGATTCTTCGGGCTCCTCTCTCGTGCGCGGTTGTCGTTGCCGATTGGCTTGTGGGTCGGCTTCGAGCGATTCGCTTGTTGGGGGGGGCTCATGCGCGTGGTGTATTTGCGGTTCTGCGCGCGCGCGTGTGTGTGTGTGTGTGTGTGTGTGTGTATGTGTGTGTATGTGTGTGTGTGGTGTGTGTGGTGTGTGTGTGTGTGTGTGTGTGTGTGTGTGTGTGTGTGTGTGTGTGTGTGTGTGTGTGTGTGTGTGTGTGTGTGTGTGTGTGTGTGTGTGTGTGTGTGTGTTGTGTGGTGTGGTGTGTTAGTGTGTGTGTGTGTGTGTGTGTGTGTGTGTGTGTGTGTGTGTGTGTGTGTGTGTGTGTGTGTGTGTGTGTGTGTGTGTGTGTGTTTTTGTGAGTGTGTATTTATATATATATATATATATATAGTAGGTGTGTGTGTGTATGTGTGTATGTGTGTATGTATATATGTATGTATGTATGTATGTATGGATGGATGGATGGATGGATGGATGGATGTATGTTTGTATATATGTATGTATGTATGTATGTATATATGTATGTATGTATGTATGTATGTATGTATTAATGTAATGTAATGTAATGTAATGTAGTGTAATGTAATATAATGTATGTAATGTATGTAATGTATGTAATGTATGTAATGTAAGTATGTGTGTAGGTAGGTAGGTAGGTAAGTAGGTAGGTCGGTAGGTAGGTAGGTAGGTAGGTGTGTATGTATGTATGTCTGTCTGTCTGTCTGTCTGTCTGTCTGTATGTATGTATGTATGTATGTATGTATGTGTGTGTGTCAACGTACGTACGTACGTACGTGCGTACGCATGCATGCATGTATGTGTGTATATGTATGTATGTCTGTCTGTCTGTCTGTCTGTATGTATGTATGTATGTATGTATGTATGTATGTATGTATGTATGCGTTGTGCTTGCACATTAATGATCTCTTGCTGCGTTCAGTGCCGTATGTCGCTACTTCTGCTCAAGTTTTTTCCAGGAGAGGATTTCCCGGATGGGGGCTCAGTCCGCCCTCATCGAGCCCTTCCAGTCCGCAGGGATCCGCGCTCTCGAGCTGCTGGCGCTGCGCCAGTCCCTGCTCTCGGCGGTGCCCCAGTGCCCCGCTGTCTCGCTGGCGTGCCCGCCCGCGAACGTCACGTGCCCCGTCCAGGTCTCCCCAGCGCTGGCCTGCCCCACGCCAGCGTGCCCCGTGCCGCTGGTGAACCTCTCCTGCCCGCCTGCAGGAGTGGCGCTCGGGCCTGACGGGCTTGACGTGCCCTCGGCCTGCTGGGGCTACCTGGCGGGAGTCTCCGCGGGGCTCGGGCTGGGCGGATCGCCCCCGTGACTCATCCCTCAACCCCCCAACCCCCCGGCCGGATTTCTTTTCTTCTTTCCGCGGGGGGTCAACCTTCGCGGCGACCCGTTAAACCCGAGACCCCTGGCGGCGCATGGATTTCTTTCCTTCTTCCCCGCGCGCGTTGCCGTTGGAACCCCTGAACCCCTCCGACTACCGTACAACTCGTACTGGGTTCCCAATATATAAGCCCGAACCCAACCCCAAACCTCACCGGCTGTAATTCAGTTGTTCCCGTACTGATACAAATCCCTAGTGCAACCGCGATTAAGGTGTTGTTGCATTGCACTTACAGTCTCGGCTCTCACGCTTTTCTTCCTCTGGTTGCGCTTGGGGGGGTGGGACCCCTCGCGCGGGCACCCCCGCGGCTGGGAGTTCATTCCTCTTCCGGAATTTGAGGGGGGGGTAACCCCCGTGCTCGAACCCCATCGCCAGGGTTTTTTTCTTTCCTCCGCGGAAACCGGACCCCCTGGGTTCTTCGGCGCGCCCCATTTTTTTTTCTTTCCGGTTGGGCCTCCATGGGTCTTAGGTTGGAGTCACCCGGGTGATGCTGGGCGGTGCAGTCTGGCGGCGGGGCGGCCGCGCCAACGCCGAGTCGGCAGGAGTGGGAGATCGAGCGCGAGAGCAGCTGCAGCTCATCAGGAGACGCAATGGCGAGGGTAGGTGACTACGTGCTCTTCCAGTACGACTTGCCTGGACCGCCGGTGTATCCAGAGAGGCTCGTGACAGGGCTCTCGATAGGCGGTCCAGGTCTCGTCAGCACGTACTCGCCAGAGGGAGACCACTACGCAGAATATGCAACGTCTGACGACCTCAGAGATGTGCGGTGGTCGGGGGCGCAGGGCGCGACCCCGCCCGGTGTCAACCCGGCCCACGTCTATCGCTCCCGCCAGGTGCCGACGGCGGCGGAGGTCCAGCAGCTGATCCGCGAGGGCTCGCTCCTCGTCGGGGGCGTGGCGCCGCCCGCGGCCGCTGCTCCCCCCGCCGCAGCGGCGCCCGCGGCGGGTCTTCCCGCGGTGGCCGCACCACAGGGGGCCATCGTGCCTCGCGGCGCTGGCGTGGTGGGAGGGGTCCCGCGCGCGGGACCCGCGGCCGCCCCCGCAGCGGCTGGCACAGTGTGGCTGGCGATCGAGGACTACCAGGGGGTGCGGCGCGGCGAGCAGATGCCTGACCCTCTCCCGCAGGGCGCCGTCGTGCACGGGGAGCTGGCGCTGTTGCCTCATGCAGGGGGCTTCGTCGGAGCGCGCCAGGTGGCCCTAGCCGACGTGGACGCCTTCGTCGTGGACGACCTGCGCGTGCTGCCAGTGCGCTTCAACCAGCAGGGCGCGCGCCGCCGCCCATACAGCGAGGCCGTGGACATGCAGATCGTGGACGAGCCTGAGGGCGGCATCATGCTGCAGGGGCCGCGCACTACGGACTGGGTGCTGAGGTCGTATCGTGATGCCGGGCTCACGCCAGTCACTCATCATTCGAACTGGCTGAGGTCGGCGCGCATCCCTGACGGAGATCGCTCGGTTCACGAACACGAGGTTCTGTGCCACGTGCTGGAGGCGATGGTGACTGTGGACCAGCTCAATGCCCCAGCGCTTCAGAGCGCTGAGCTCGTCGTGCGCAGGATTCAGGTCATAGACGACGCTCGCTCGGCCTCTCCCTCGAACCCGGACTACCCCGCGGCCGACGAGTTCATGGGCTGGGCCACTCATCGCCAGGGCGCCGCGGTCGCGCCCGACCGGCAGCGCCACGTTGCCGCGGGCATGCGCGACCGGGCCGCGATCCTCAAGGAGGCTCGCAAGGCGAAGGAGGAGCAGAAGCTGCGCCGCGGCAAGGGGGGCGGCAGGACCGACGCCAGCGGTACTGGCGGGCAGGGGGCATGACGGCTCCCAGTCGCGGTGGCTGGCCGGCCCGCGACGTACACAAGGCCTGTGGTGCCTCGGCGGCACGCACCTTCCGTCCTCGCACTGTTCCTGGCGCTGAGGGTCGTGGGGTACCGACCGACTGTGGCCGCGGGGGCCCAGCAGCACGCACCTCACGTCCTCCAGCCAGGGCAGGCTTCGGGGATCGCGAGGTACCGACAGTCCGAGGATCGTGTGACATGGGACGCCCTCCTGGGCTGAGAGCAGCTGAAGATCGCCAGCGTGATCTGTTCCCGCTGCCCTCCCTTCAGCCGGCTCCGCCTACTTCTGCGCCAGCGTCTACGTCGACGAGGCGAAGGCTGGCTCACAGGCGGCAGACGGAGCAGTGTGCCAATGATGCCATTGCGGGCCTCGCCGCTCTCCATCCTCCTTGCGAGCAGCGTGGGCCCACCACGGCGGCTCAGCGACTCGCGACCGCCACCTTTTTGAACGAGGTCAGGACGGCCCCGAAGTCTGACACTCACTTTTCTCGCCGTGGAGCCGCGGAGGAGCTCCTGGCCTCCAGCCTGTCCTGCACCGCGGACGAGGCACCAAGTCCCGTGGTAAGGTACGTCAGATCCCGAGTCGACATCCCAGAAGTGGGTGCGGTCATACCTCCTGTCGAGTCGGTGCTCGACGGGATCGGGAGGAGCTACGTGCTGGACTACGAACAAGCGATGATGAAGACTCCTGACGAGTGGTCCCGCGTCTTGAATAGAGAGCCGCCCGTCACGGCCCCGAAGTCTGACACTCACTTTTCTCGCCGTGGAGCCGCGGAGGAGCTCCTGGCCTCCAGCCTGTCCTGCACCGCGGACGAGGCACCAAGTCCCGTGGTAAGGTACGTCAGATCCCGAGTCGACATCCCAGAAGTGGGTGCGGTCATACCTCCTGTCGAGTCGGTGCTCGACGGGATCGGGAGGAGCTACGTGCTGGACTACGAACAAGCGATGATGAAGACTCCTGACGAGTGGTCCCGCGTCTTGAATAGAGAGCCGCCCGTCACTCCCTACACGGACGAAGTTTTCAAGCGTGACCCTGTGGCGTACAACACCTTCATCGGCGACCTGGTGAAGGCTAACATGCTGGGTTCACGTACCGCCCGAAGGACCTGGTCACCCCTTTCTTCGTGGCCAAGAAGAGTGGAGCACAGCGTCTTGTCTGGGACGCTAGAGTGCCAAATCGACGTTTTCGCGACCCGCCGCCGCTGGCCATGGGGACATCGGCTGCGTACGGTCGCCTCCAGCTACCTGGTGATCGTGAGGAGGACGGCAGCTTCAGCACCAAGCTCTTCTGTGCCCAGGCTGATGTGCGCAACTACTTCTACGCTCTCGGCCTGAGGGAGGAGCTGGGACTGCTCTTCTCGCTGCCGCCGGTGTCACAGGCTTCCTTGTCGCAATGGGGGGTTGAGGCAGTGGACACTCCCGAGGGCCCCTCAGGGGGCTGGGTCTGGCCGTTCCTGCGGGTCGTGCCGATGGGCTGGTCTTGGGCTTTCTGGCTTGGGCAGCGTGCGAATGCGCACGTCTGCTGCTCTGCCTCGGGGCTCGGGTTCCCGCGGGTGCTGACCGATCACGGTCCGGTGCCCCCGCTCGACGAGGGGGTCCCTTGCCTCCTACCCTATTGCGATAACATCAACGTCATCGGCACCGACCCTGTCAAATGCAATGTCCTGATGCACCAGATCTGCGACGCCTGGAGGAAGCATGGCGTGCAGATCCACGAGGTGGTTGAGGCCACCGACGTCTTCACCAGCCTCGGCCGCCTGATCGACGGCGCGTCTGGGCGAGTTTTCTCGCGGCCCGAGCGCTCCGAGCGCCTCCGCCAGGCCTCACTGTGGCTAGAGCAGCGCCCTAGAATCACGGAGAGGGAGGTGGAGAGGTATGTGGGTGATCTCCTTGATCATTTGATGCTGAAGAGGGAGCTGCTCTCGATCCTCAGGAGCTTGTATGATTTCGTCAGAGATTGCTATCACGTGCGAGCCCGTCTCTGGCCCTCAGCTGCCCGCGAAGTCGAGCAGTGCCGTCGCTTGCTGCCGCTGGTGTCTGCTAACCTTCGGCTTCCGTGGTCGCCGACGGTCTTCGCTTACGACGCTTGCCTGACGGGTATGGCGACGTGCCAGACAACACTGTCATCGGATCTTGTCAAGCGCATCGGGTCAGTCAGTGAGAGATGGAGATATCGCATGCCTTTGGCTATCTCGGCACGCCGGTCAGCTCTGGGAGTCCGTTCTGGATGCTACGAGGCCTCGGAGGGGCCGTTCGACGTCTTCAGCGACATCGAGACCGTCAAGGCCCCCGGGAGCACCAGCATGGACCTTGTCAAGGACCCTTGGGAGCTCAACCCGCAGTTCACAGAGGTGCCCGTCCAGGCTCTGCAGGGCCCCCAGTGGAAGCAGGTGGTCTCGGCCAGGGTTCACGTCAAGAAGCCCATCACAATTATCGAGGGGAGGGCTTCGAACATGACATCACGTCATATCACAAGGGCACAGGCCTCCTTTGGTCTCCGTCATCTGCGTTTCGGGGACCTCGGCACCGTGCTCGCGCTCGGACGTGGGCGATGCTCCTCCTATCCCCTTCTGCTGTGCTGCCGCAGAGAGGCTGCCTACTCCGTCGCCACTGCGTCGCGGTTCGAGCATCGGTGGACACCTTCGGAGCTTAACCCCTCCGATGAAGGGTCGAGGCGCTGGGATGCCAAGTCGGGAGGTATCTCGCCTGCCCCGCGCGGCGGCCGTCAAGCGCCCGGCTGCCAGCCCCAAGATTGTGCAGAAGAGCTTCTTGAAGGGCAGGCCGTTCGTTGGGGCGACGAAGGAGGAGAGGATCGCTCACCGTCTGCGGGCCTCTGGGCCGTTCGCGATGGTGGGGGAGGACGAGAGGAGCGTCCTGGAGTGGAACGCGGTGGCGCCCGAGACCCAGGCATACTACAAGGGCGCCCTCGACGACTTCTAGACGTTCGTGGACCTCTTCGAGCTGCCGCTGCACACCGCTGCTCAGGTCGACCTGGCGCTGATGAACTACGCCGATTACGCCTGGAGAATCGGGCTCGAGAGAGCCGCCGTCCTGAAAACATATGCCGCGTACATCTCGGCGCACCCCGACTTTTCCCGAAAGGGGTCGCTCCGCCTGCCGCGTTTCTGTCGGGCCCTCCAGGGCTGGAAGCGCCTGGACCCAGGCCAGACGCGCCCGCCGATGCCCTGGCAGGTGGTCGCGCTGGTCGCACTGGTGATGGCCACGCAGCTGGGGTCCCCGCACGCGGCGCTCATGGTGGTGACGATGTTCTGGGTGTACCTCAGGCCCTCCGAGGCCGTCGGCCTGCGCGAGCAGGACCTCCTCCCCTCGGGCTCGTGCACGGATTACGGCTTCAACCTGCACCCCAGCGCGAGGGGCGAGTACAGCAAGACCAGCTTGTCGGACGAGAGCTTGCTCCTCGATTCGGTCGAGGTGCCCTGGCTGGGCCCGCTGCTGGCGCGCGCGAGGTCGGGAGACCCGCAGGCGCCGCTGTTCCGTCTCACCGCCGCGCAGCTCGGCGTCCTGTGGCGCCAGTCGCTGGAGCGGGCCGAGGTGCCCACCAGGTACGTGCCCTACCAGCTCCGCCACGGGGGCCCGTCGCACGAAGATATCGATCCATGGACGAGATCAAGAGGCGCGGGCGGTGGGCCAGCGACTACACGATGAAGCGCTACGAGGCCCATGCGCTGGTGCAGCAGGAGCTCGCAGCGCCCCCGGTCGACGTCCGCCGCAGGGCCGAGGCGGCGCGCGCGAAGCTGCACGCAGAGCTCGAGAGGCTCCTGGCGCGGCCCCAGAGGCCGCGGACGGCCGCGCCGTCGGCGCGGCTGCAGGCGGCGCCCGCGCCCAGCATGCGCCGCCCCGCACCTTCTGCCAAGGTGCGGCAGCCCGCGCCCGTGCCAGGCCTTTCGTCGAGCTCATGTGCGGCTCCGCCGCCTTGGCCAAGGCCGTCCACGCCGCCGGCTGGGCTTCGGAAGGCTGGGGCTACGCTGATGACCCGCGAGCCGACCTTCTTGATGAATCCCTCATCGACAGTCTGGTATTGAGGATCTCACGGAAGGAGGTCGCGGGGGTGCATGTCGGCCTGGACTGCAAAACGTGGAGCCGGGCAAGGAAGAATGATGGACGGGGTCCGCCGCCACTCAGGGACGACGCGAACCTGCACGGCCTCCCTCTGCTGGCGGCGGCGGACGCTGAGAAGGTTAGGATCGCCAATCGTCTGCTCGCTAATGTTCTGCGCCTGCTGGCTGCTGCCGTCGAGGCGGGAGTCCCTTTCTCTCTCGAGAACCCTCGCTCGTCTCGCCTCTGGCTGGTCCCGGAGCTTCTGGACATGGCCCGCGAAGCTCACGCCGAGTGGGCTTCTGTTGATTACTGCCAGTATCAGGTCCCCTGGAAAAAGTCGACTACCTTTTTGCTATTCAATTGGCTGCCAGCGCAGCCGTCCCTCCGCTTGTGTACAGGCTGTCAAAAAAGGTGTAGTGCCACGGGTAAGGCGCACATAACACTGAAGGG